CTGCTGAAATGTAGGTACTCTGTGTTTGTTTTAATAATAGCATATACTATAACACTATTTTTGGACCACTAATTACAATTTGCAATTAAATAATTATCTGATTGATTTTCCATGTGTGTCATCTGCGTGCCTAAACAGAACCTAAGTTCCACGAGAACAGCAAGCTTATCAGTTTGTCAGACATTTTCCAACTCCATAACCTTATGTAGCTTATTTAGTCTCTCTAAAGTAGGGTTAATTAGGGGATCACAGGGAGATTTAAAGAGATAATTCAAATAGAGTGCTTCTCAAAGTACCTAACACATAGTAAAAGCTCAATTATTATTAGCGTTCTTTCCTGTGTCCTTAGTACCTAGAAGAGTGCCTGAAACATAGCAGGTGTTCAGTTAATATTGTTTCAATGGATGGGTGAATTCATAATGGCACAAGGAGGAAGAGAGCCCAGAGGGTAAGTTTCATATCCCTGGTTTCCTGGAGGCTTCGGCAAGTTTGAGAGATGGGAGTGCAACACTTAAGTGATGGATGGAAAGACGAGAGGGTAATTGCTCTGAAATGCAGAAGTGTTTTTCTACTCAGCAAGTTGTTCTTCAAATTGAGTGTGATTTCTGCAGAAGGATCCCCAAACTTTTCTCCCCACAAAAGGCCCCCACATTTCTTCAGTATTATTATTACATTCATTCATTCTTCCTTAGTTAACTCATCCATTCCAGAATCATAGCCAAACCGTTCAATGTAAAAATACTGTGGAAGACTTGGTGTGTTGATGTGATGGATTTCTCTCAATGTATAAATTATATCAGACAGTTTCCTCTCTGAGTGGCAGTTAAGAGTTCATTTTTAGGGCGCCTGGGTGGCTCAGTCATTAAGCGTCTGCCTTCAGCTCAGGTCATGATCCCAGGGTCCTGGGATCGAGCCCCACATCGGGCTCCCTGCTCGGCGGGAAGCCTGCTTCTCCCTCTCCTGCTCCCCCTGCTTGTGTTCCCTCTCTCGCTGCCTCTCTCTCTGTTAAAAAAAAAAAAAGAGTTCATTTTTAAAAAGAGAGGGAGAGGGGGGTGCCTGGGTGGCTCAGTCGTTAAGCGTCTGCCTTCGGCTCAGGTCATGATTCCAGGTCCTGGGATCGAGCCCCGCATCAGGCTCCCTGCTCGGCAGGAGGCCTGCTTCTCCCTCTGCCTCTCTCTCTCTCTGTCTCTCATGAATAAATAAATAAAATCTTTAAAAAAATAAAATAAAATAAAAAGAGAGGGAGAGGGACGCCTGGGTGGCTCAGTCGGTTAAGCACCTGCCTTCGGCTCAGGTCATGATCCCAGGGTCCTGGGATCAAGTCCCACAGTGGGCACTTTGCTCAGTGGGGAGCCTGCTTCTCCCTCTGCCTGCAGCTTCCTCTGCTTGTGCACTCTCTCTCTCTCTGACAAATAAATAAATAAAATCTTTAAAAAGAGAGAGAGAGGGAGAGTAGATTTCTGAAAGAGTGAGGATTGCTTCTGAGTGGAAGGAGATGAACAAGAAGGGAGGCAGACTATCAAAGGCAAACTTCAAAAGCTTCATACATTCACCCTGGGTCAGCCCTATTCATCTTCATTTGTACATTGACAAATAGTGTGCCCAAAAGTTCATGGAATCCTGAGTCATTTCATCCAGGGTGGCCACACAGACTTACTGTAGTGAGACCTGAAGTTATTAAGGTTGGACCAAGTGTTAAGGCAAACATACTCAATTTTGGCCCTTTCCTTGTGTTATCTGGGTAGGCCATTTAAATTTTCCATGACGCGATTTTATCCACTTGGACAATATAGAGGTAACCTCTTTTGATTCCCACCTTGAGATCTTGTAAGATAAATAAGAATTTATGAATTCCTGTATATATTAAAAAAACTGTACAAGACAGTTAAAAGAACAAAAACTATCACCCTTATGTATTCAATTTGAAATTTTGAAAGTATAAGACTGTATCAATATATGTACATAGTCATGCATTATTAATTATGTATATTTAGGGAAAGGGTTAGTCTTATATTAAACTACCTGAATATCTGAGTGGATTAAAATTTATGTAATGTACTTTGAAATTAGATAAATAATGCACTAATTTAATATTTCCCAAAGTTCCTTGATGGTTATAATCTCCAATTTGAAGCTATAAGAATCATTGTTAAAATTACAGTTTCTTAGGTTCCATTTTTTATAATCTAATTCAGAATTCCCGGAGCATGGGTCTGGAAAAGTTATTTTATAAGCATTCTGGCAATTCATCTCTTATGGGTAACTTGGAAACAATTGCTTTTGGCCGTTTTTATAACCAACTGGGGTCTATGATAAAATACACAAGCCTGGACCTTACCACATAAGACCAAATCAATAATTCTTCAAGTGGGCCCCAGAATTCACAATATTAACAGTCTCTTCTAGAAAATTTTGTGAACAATAAAGTTTGAAAGCCATTTCTTTAACATTTTGCAGTAGGGTAAGTTGGACTTGCTTTATTAAATACTGAGGAACTCATTATAAGAACATCAAGTGAATGTAAGTAATATTTATTAAAAGAATGAGTTATTGATTTTTCTTAAGTTATATATATTTATTCTCTTTAATATCTAATCAAGTAACTTAGTAAATTCTTCCTAAATAATGCAAGGGAACACATCAAAGCCGTTTATATTTTTTATGACATGTACTATTAAAGAAATAACTGAGATGTATTGTCCAAACATTAAATACATTTCATTTTACATTTATGTTCAAAAGTTAGTCAAACTTCCTCACAAATATTCAGATAAAAATAAACATATTTACAGCTACATGCTATTTCCTAAGCTTTACAACTTGATTTTTGTCTCTAATTGAGACATATTACTTCTACTTTATAAACAAGTTTTTCCAAAGTAAGTTTTCATTATATTTCATTTATTCATAATTTTGTATTTGTATTTTTCTTGTCTAACATTTCTTCTGACATTTTACGCTTTTCCTGTATTTCTATTCTTTATTTTTTTCTACATTTTTTCTTTAATTTTTTGTGGTTTAACACTTTTTATTTTAAACTTATTTCTGATTTTTATTTTAAAAATTAGACCTATTTTTGCACTCATTATTATTTGTGTCTTTTTTCCTCTACCATTGAAAGACCACAGAAATTTTCTTTCCCTGAATTTTGGAAATCAAAGAACATTTTTTTTATACTGAAGTAGACAGGCTTGGAACCTTTTAGGATTTGCTTTTTTAATCCATTTGTTTTATTTTGTTTTTACTTATAGAAATTGTCATTTTTACTCCCACATTAATCAAGATTACATGTTGGGAGAATATGACTAGACAACTTTATTTCTTTCAACAATGGAAAGGTCTGTCAAATTCTTCATAGAGTTAATTAACACCGGTGGAAAAATATTCATCTGTCCTCACTTCTTTGAGCTTATCTTACTAGGTAATCTATAAGATAAGATTATAAAACATCCATGATATAAATGTGCTGGTGAAATGTAACATCCTAGTCATATTGTTCTGATATCATTTAATGGTATGTTCCGTGAACCGTGTTTATCATTTTACCATCAGGAATATGTTACTAATAAAAATAAATGAAATTAATTCAATTGAATGCCTTCTACATATACAAAAAATATATCTAGCAATACAGAAAACATAAAAATAAGTAAGGTTTGATTGACCTGAAGGCACTTATAGACTAGAAGAAGTTAGATAAAAGGCGATGTAGTAAAGTGGAAAATAATGCAAGTCTTAAGAAAAATAATTTGGGAACTTACTTTGGGAGATGAGAAAAGGAAAAGGTTTGAGGCATCAGGACAGCTTCATACAAAAAGGGTGGCATTTGGACAGAGCTTTATTTTTTTTTTTAATTTATTTTATTTATTCATGAAAGACAGAGAGAGAGGCAGAGGGAGAAGGAGGCTCCCCGCTCCGCTAGTCCCATGCGGGACTAGATCCCAGGAGGCCAGGATCATGACCTCAGCGGAAGGCAGATGCATAACTGACTGAGCCACCCAGGCACCAGAGCTTTAAAGAATGGATGGGTTTGGGGAATGTGATGGGGAGCAGCTGGAGGCTAGCTAGGCAAAGGGAACAGAGTGAACAAAGGCATGGAGAAATGTAGGCAATGGGGATAGTCCTTCAGTTGCAGTTGAAGAATTGGCAGAAGGACAAGGTGATTTGGGGGAAATAGCAATGCATGTAGCTTAATTGGAAATGAGGAGGCACCAACAATACCTAGTTGGTTGGGAGAGAATGACATATTGAGTGCTCATTAACAGCATCTGTTGAGTTCCTACTGTGTGCCAGGGACTTAGCTGAGCACTTCGTATGCCTTATGCAATATAATCCTCACAATAATAGTGTGAAACAGGTGTTAAGCATTATCCCATTTACAGATAAAGGAAAGGATTAGAGAAGTGAAATGACCAACAAGGCTGTCATTAATTGAACAGACTCCCTGACCCCAAGGGTGAAGTGCATTTACTGCCTTTGGGGTGTTAGCATGATTTCAGAATATAAGGCAGAGTAGAGGAAGATAAAACTGAAGGGGGGGAACAGGTTAGCGGACCACAGGGTTTTAAAAGCCCAAGAAAAAGACAATGAGGGAGTTCCTAAAGTCGTGGCAAGTTGATTAAGGGAAAAATAGATTGTTTGATGTTTATTTGATTGTCCCTAAGAAAACATCAAAAGTGTGGGCCCACTCCCTCCGTATAAATTAAAATCCTTTACTGCATCTCTCACAGCATGCTCTAGAACTTATGAGCTGTAATTACACATTTGTTTGACTATTTAAAATCTCTCTCCCTTTCTAGGCATTGACATCCTAGAAAAGGACTATGCTTGTTACACTCAACACTGTATGCAACTACAATACGTACTTAGTGGATTTAAGGATGGACAGTGGAGAAGTAAATACAGAATAATGACTTCAAGAACTCAGAGCTAGAGAGTTGGAAGGGGGTTGGAGTGATAAGGAATACAGGGGAAGGGAGAAATGCTTTTAAAAAACTCTTTCAGATATGGAGGCCCAAGGATTGTGCATTGAATAAAATGAGAAAGCCAGAAAAAGGAACTAAGATAAAAAGATGCGTGATGTTTTCTATTTAAGGCTGTATTCCACAGGATTTACCAATATGCCCAACTAGTTCAATAGACTTTATTTTTACTCCAACTTCTTTTTAACATTTAGTTGGTTCTTTTTGAGAACTTTAAAAATATATTTCATACAACTGACTTAAACTAATTTATTTTTTTTCCTTTTTCTGTTTAATTCATAATATTTAAACAAAATTGGCCAAGATTACACTCAATGTAACTAACTGTAACCTTGGATAAACACTGATTATATAGTTACCAACCTTTTAGTTATTCTCTTTTCTTTTATTTAATTAAACTAAGTTGCAGGAGTCCTCTTAATCCTGGGGGAGTAAATAGTTTTACAAATTTTTAAAGCAAATGCTTAGCCACTGTGACTAATACTCAGAAGAATTGTCTAAATTTCTGACTCTTTATTCACCTTAACATACAGATAACAGTAACCAAAAATAGTTTGAAATAAGTTTCTCATTTTCATCAGAATAAAGTAAGTCCCCTTTAAAAATTTATTTAAAAACAGGAAAATCATTCTAATCAATAAGCAAACTAAAAAACCCAAGGATATGAGAGTTCTGAATTACGCTACATATGTTGGTATAGGAATAATTGCAGTTGAAGGACTGGCAGAAAATTTACAGGACTAAGTATGACTCTAAGATTACTCTTCATGTGTTCTTATCCTGTCTACAAATAAGAAATTAACATAGAATAATTTCAAATACAGAAAATAGGGACATTTTGCCACAGTTGGAAAATTTTTCTTTATGAAATTGGCTATGTATTTCCTATCTGTCCTTGCCTTATTCATATCTCAACATTTGCAATCAACACCCTTTAAATTATACATTTCTCTTTAGTTTGTATAGTAAAAACCCAAGCCTTAAACTCAATGATTATGCTTTTAAAAAACGATAGGGAAGGAACCACAGTTAAATAAATACTAAATTGCAACTCAAACAAATGTTACCTTTCTATTCCTTACCAACAAATGCAAAACTTGCCTACATTCAACAACTCTGAAAAATTTCCCCCAAGGAAAAAAAGTGTAATAATCTGAAATCAAGAAATGTCTCACATGGAAATGAAAAATGACTTCAGTGCTGTGTGGTTAGAGAATTGCCTCTCAGCAACTTATAATGTGCTTAGGACTTAACTGCTTCATAATTTGGTGAACTTCAAAAAAAATAACAATAGTGATTATAATACCCGAAATATGAATAGCAAATAACAGTACCCATCAAAAACCCAAAAAGCAAGAAAGCCCATATTATTTTGTTTCACTCATGCATACACATTTGAAAGAGGCATCCCAAAGCTTCATATTTATTTTTCTAAAATCATGTTAATTTCTTATTTATTTCAGGCATTACTAGAGACTCAAAATTTACTGCGCACTCAGGTTGCAAATTTTACCTTCAACCTTGGATTTTCAGGGAAGTTTTACCACACAGGTAAGAAGGAGCTTTGTGTTCTCAGGCAGCTACATATAAATAGGAGCGAGGATTTTAAATGTTTCATAAGTAGGAGGAATAGAATATCCGGACTGATTATGGGAAAAACTCGGGTGCATTATATGAGTAGCCAAATCCAAAATCAATGAGCTTGTTTACTTTGGCAAATACTGTTAGAATCAAGGACAAAGAAGGAAGACAATTGACTTTTTCAACTCAGTAAAAAAAGAAACCATGATCATTGTTCTGTGACTATGCATCTTGTCTCTCAGCATAGTCCAAGTAGAAAGCAAAGTGATTGTGATGATGATGATGATGATGATGTTGATGATGGCAATGACATTCCAATAATAATAATAGTGGGCAGTGTTTTTAAAATGTCAGATACTCAAGGTGACAGACATTTTTGTATATATTATTCCTTTGGAAAACATCTGGTGATCAGAGAGGAATTTTATAGCCTCAAAGAAAATTAATAGAGGGTCATCTTGCTTAACTTACCTTCCCTTGCAGGATTTTTCCCTAAAAATATTACAATTTGGCCCAACATGCATTAAAGCAATCGTAATAAGGCTTGTATTTCTTTCCATCTCTATCCAGCCACAGTTGAACTTCTTTTCAGTGTCGGCTTCTCAACAAATTCTTAAAATGTGATTGGTGTTCATGCACTACTCTATGTTCTGATATTTCTCACCTCTTTACCCATCTTCACCTCCAAAATATGACTTTTATTTTATGGGTATCAGCATTCTAATGTCTGGCATTCGTATGGAGAAAAATATGTGCAGAGAAGTGACTATCTTATAATAATGACAAAAATAACACAAAATGATGTGTTAGAGCCTGTAGGCAATACCTAGTATCTGCTCCTATTTCTGCATTTGTGGTATAAACCAAATACTTTATGACTTTGCACTGTTGTTACTTCATAGTTTCTTAGTGAAAACATTCCATGGGATTCTCTGTGCATGCATGCATGTTATTGACATTTAAAATATCCCATGCAAAGGTAGTCTTTAATTATCATAAATGCAGTTCATTTACCCAAAGAAGCTTTTTAATGTTTAACCAAGGAGGCTCAGCATGGTTTATTAGAATATTGAAGCAGTGATGTCTTATTGGCTTTTCTTTAATGCCTTTTCCCTCCTGCTTTGAAACATGTAAATCTGTTTAAAATAATAGAAGGAAAATTAGTATTTAGACCATTTGATAAATCAAATGATTGCATATTTTAAAAGGACATTTTGCAGAAAGAGATTTGGGTCATCGTATCTGCACAGGCAAAGTAATTCCAGCTTACAATTTTGAAAATAGACATGGTTTTTTAAATCTTCTTCAAAAGCCCCCTCAAGAAATGAGTTCAGGCCTAAGAAGCTCTGACTCTGAAGTTATAAAGCAGATAACTAAAAGCTATATCTACTCACGCAGGGGAAAAAATTATGGGATTATCTGGAGTTCACACACAAACAATACTGTTTTGTCTTAAATAGCCATATAGTGCAAGTAAAGCCATTCTTTTGGTTGAAATATATCTGGATAACTGCCTCATCTCTTTTATTCTCTTTTCCTATTCAGAACTATTAAAGCTGCCAGACATTCACAGAGTTAATGTTGATAGCAGGTTATAACACTTCTCATTTCTTCTTTATGATCCTGAACTTGTACACAGTACACATCCACCAGGAAATGAACAACACACTAGTTGATATCACAGGGATAGTTGTTGGAGGAAGATACCAAAAAAAAAAAAAAAAAAATCATTTTAATTTTATTTTTAAGAAGACCTTATTGACTCTTTTGACTCTTTATGTTGGTACTAACCTAACAAAAATAATGGAAGAAACACTTTATTCTGTTATGCTGTGGTGATAGTTCACTTTAGAGATCAAGCAATGTATATAAATTTGTAAATCCCGGAAGCTGACTTTCCTTCACATAGGATGAGACTTCCACTGACTTGATACTTTAAGTGTAGAATCACTGAAAGGCATCCATACTGTATTTCAAAGGTGCAATCATATTATATTGAGTACTTACTAATTTACTCAAGAGATGTCAAGTTTTCTCCTAGAGTGGAGTTAACATTGGTGATGTCCACTCTAGGGAGGGCATACTTCTGTCTTGTCTAGTTACATTCTTATACGCAAGCTTAACTATATGGAACAAAGTTTGCAAATCAGGGAAGTGCTTTCCTTATACTTGCACTCCGCTGTGATATGTAACTATTAGAAGATGGCCTTGTCACAATGACTGTCTCAGCTCTCTCCCAGGATGTTCTGATTTCCCAATGCATGAGGATGCTGATTGATGAGCCTCATTGTTTTGAAGACATTTAATCACATATGCCCAGTGTAATAGTGATAGATTCTTCATTTCTTAGACTGCTCCACTTATTTGTATTTCCCGTGTATTCTTTCCTGTTTGGCTTCTCTGCCCTTCACATGCTAAAAACAATCTCACCCAAAAGGACATATCCCTAAGCTTTCCCTCGCAGTCAGCCACTCACAGGTGCCAAATTGAAAAAGGAAGGACATACTGTTGATTAAAAGGAAAAAAATAAAAGTATGGAGTTTGAAACAAAATGTTTTAGTCTGAAAATATGTAAAGCTTGATTAGAATTGCACAATGAAAACTCAGAGAATGAACACATTAGAGTGTTAAGATGTCTTCTAGGGGTAAAGTGTTACAAATACTATTTTTGTAGGGCATAATTTCTAGTGACAATCATTGCCACTCTTTGTAATTAATAATAAATTGAATATGACTCAATCAATTACTTCATGGATATTTACAAATTGTATTAATATTGTTTTTTCATGAGAGTTCATTTGACAAAATATAGGCCCTTTATATAAAACTATTAACTTTTAAACATGAAATTTTTTTTTAAAGTATTACATTCATTTACCTTTGTTTGCTTTTTGTTTTTTATTTTCTGTGGAAATTACCAGTTCAGAGTAGGTATTAGAAACAGACTGCTTTTGGGGCACCGCCTGGGTGGCTCAGTTGGTTAATCGACTGCCTTCGGCTCAGGTCATGATCCCAGGGTCCTGGGATCGAGCCCCGCATCGGGCTCCCTGCTCAGTGGGAAGCCTGCTTCTCCCTCTCCCACTCCCCCTGCTTGTGTTCCCTCTCTCGCTGTGTGTGTGTCTCTCTCTCTCTGTCAATTAAACAAATAAATAAATAAAATCTTAAAAAAAAAAAAAAGGAAAAGAAACAGACTGCTTTTGTTCAAATCCAGACTGACATTTACTAGGTTTGTGAACATAAACAGGTTACTTAAACTTTCCGTGCCTCAGTTTCTTCATCTCTAAATGAGAATCATATCTCCCTCATCTAGAACAATGCATAGCATGTTCTAAGTGCTATGTGTTTATTATTATTACTTTAAAAAGTATTTTTGTATAAGACTGATTTTATCAAAAAAGTAAACTGAATAACGCACATCACTTTATTTTCTAATTTTGAAATTGTAGGTTACATACATACATTTATTTATTTCTGTATTTATTTTTTTGCCTTTAAAGAGAGTTTGCACTGCAGTGGGGGGAACACAATCATTAATTGAAATAACACTGCTCTTATTCACATACAAAAGTAACATTCTTAGAAACAACTTTCATGTATGTGCCTTACAAGTTATTCAGTGAAACAACGCATAATAAACATATGTATACAATGGAAAGATAAACTATACTTATCGATACAAGTAACATTCTTAGAAATATGTTTCCCACGCGTCTTTGAAGGTTTTACATGCATTGCAATGTACTGAACACATTTTCTGAAGTTAATTTTTAAAAATTTTTAATTAAAGTATCATTGACATATGTATGATATTAGTTTCAGGTGTACAACATAGGGATTTGAAAACCATATCCAGGGGCACCTGGGTGGCTCAGTTGGTTAAGCATCCCACTCTTGATTTCCACTCAGGTCATGATCTCAGGGTGTGGGATCGAGCCCTGTGTTGGGCTCCACACTCAGCATGGGGTCTGCTTGTCCCTCTCCCTCTTCTCCTCTCCCTTGCTCATGAAAGAGAGAGACCTCTCTTTCAAATAAATAAATAAAATCTTCTTAAAAATTAGAAAAAATGATGGGCACCTGGGTGGCTCAGTTGGTTAAGTGACTGCCTTCGGCTCAGGTCATGATCCTGAAGTCCTGGAATTGAGTCCAGCATGGGGCTCCCTGCTGAGCAGGGTGTCTGCTTCTCCCTCTCACCTCTCCCCTCCCCCTCTCATGTGCTCTCTCTCTCCTTCTCTCTCTCTCAAATAAATAAATAAAATCTTTTTAAAAAATTAGAAAAAAAGAAAGTCATATGCATTACAATATGCTCACCATGGTAAGTGTAGTTTCCATCTGTCTCCAAAGTTATTACACTGTTATTAACTATATTCCCTATGCTATACTTTTCATCCTGGTGATCTATTTATTTTATAATTGGGAGATTATACCTCTTAATACCCTTCACCCTGTTTCACCCATCTCCCACTCTCCTCCCTTTAGCAACCACTAGTTTGTCCTCTCAATATATGAGTTTTTTTTCTCCTTTGTGTTATATTATTTGTTTTGTTTTTTAGATTTCACATTTAAGTGAAATCATAGGATTTTGTCTTTCTCTGACTTATTTCATTTAGCATCATACCTATCCATGTTGTCCCAAATGGTAAGATTTCATTCCTTTTTATAGCTGAGTAATATTCCATTGTGTATATATACCACATCTTTATCCATTCATCTATGGATGGACATGGGTTGCTTCCGTATCTTGGCTCTTATAAATAAGGCTGCAGTAAACATAGGTGTTCATATATCTTTTCCAATTAGTGTTTTTGTTTTCCTTGGGTAAATACCCAGAAGTGGAATTATTGGATTGGATGGTAATTCTATTTTTAGTTGTTGGAGGAACCTTCGAACTGTGTTCTCCAGTGGCTGCACCAGCTTACATTCCTGCCAACAGTGCACAAAGGTTCTCTTTACTCCACATTCTCGCCAACACTTCCTAGTTCTTTATATTTTGGGTACTGACCATTCTGACTAGTGTTAGGTGATGTCATTGTGGTTCTGATTTGTATTTTTCTCCTGATGATTAGTGATATGAGTATCTTTTCACATGTCTTTGGGCCATCTGTATGTCTTCTCTGGGAAAATGTTTATTCAATACCTCTGCCCATTTTAATTGGATTATTTGTGGATTTTTTTTTTGATGTTGAGTTGTATGAATTCTTTATCAGATGTATCATTTGCAAATATCTTCTCCCTTTCAGTAGGTTGCCTTTTTGTTTTGTTGTTGGTTTCCTTTGCTGTGCAAAAGCATTTTAGTGTGATGTAGCCCCAATAATTTATTTTTGCTTTTGTTTTTCTTGACTGGAGAAACACATCCAGAAAATTATTGCTGAGGTTGATGTCCACAGATTACTGCCTATGTTTTCTTTTAAGAGTTTTATTGTTTCAGGTCTTATATTTAGATCTTTAGTCCTTTTTGAGTTTATTTGTGTGTATGGTGTCCAGTTTCATTCTTTTGCATATAGTTGTCTAATTTTTCCAACACCATTTATTGAAGAGACTATTTTCCCCCCTAGTATATTCTTCCTTCCTTTGTCATAGATTAATTGACCACATAAGTGTGGGTTTCTGTCTGGGCTCTCTATTCTGTTCTATTGATCTATGTAGCCTTTTATTGTGTTGTTCTATACTGTTTTGATTACAATAGCTTTGCAGTACAGTTTGAAATCTGGGAGTGTGGACCCCCAGTTTTGTTCTTCTTCCTCAAGATGGCTTTGGCTGTTTGTGATCTTTTGTGGTTTCATACAAATTTTAGGATTATTTGTTCTTGTTCTGTGAAAAATACTATTGATATTTTGATATGGATTGCACTGAACCTATAGATTGCTTGGATAGTTTGGATATTTTAATATTTGTTCTTCCAATTCATCAGCGTGGCATATCTTTCTTTCCACTTGTTTGGAATTTCTTCATCTCCTATTTCTTTCATCAATGTCTTATAGTCTTTAGAGTACTGTTGTTATACTTCCTTGGTTAGGTTTATTCCTAAGTATTTTATTATTTTTGGTGCAATTGTAAATGGGATTTTCTTAATTTCTCTTTCTGCTCTTTTGTTAGTAGTGCATAGAAATGCAACAGATTTCTGTATATTGATTTTTGAACTCTGCAGCTCTGTTGAATTTATCAGTTCTAGAACTAATAGGTAACCATAGGTAACTTTTAATCGATTTTCATCACCACACAGTTCTTTTATTTATTGTAATGTTTAAAATTAGTTTAGTGCATACCTACCTATATGGAACCATGCCAGATTCAATATACAAAGAAAATACAAACATCTTCTTACCATTCAAGAATTACAATATTTCATACATAATGAGCAAATATAAAGCAGACATTTGTACAAAAGCAATAATGCAGACACTGGAATTTTATAAATTGCATTTTAACATTGCCTTATGGGAATTAACCTCTAGCCCAGATCTTGCTAAAATTATCCTTATATTGGCAGACTTAAAGAACTTTTAGAAGGATGCTATTATTTCATAACAAGATCATCTACATGTGGTAACAAAAAAGTAAATTCTTCAATATTTTACTTCTGAATTTAAAAACTTCCTATTTATTGAGAATTTAGAGAGGTAAGAGGGAAAAACTATTAAGTTAGAACAAAAAATACTACATTTTTAATTAATAATGATGTAGATTTGGGGGCGCCTGGGTGGCTCTGTTGGTTAAGCGGCTGCCTTTGGCTCATGCCATAATCCTAGGGTCCTGAGATTGAGCCCACTGTTGGGCTCCCTGCTCAGCAGAGAGCCTGCTTCTCCCTCTTCCTCTGCCTGCCGCTCTGCCTGCTTGTGCTCTCTGTTAAATAAATAAATAAATAAATCTTTAAAAAAAATAATAATGATGTTGTAGATTTGAACCTAGATCAGATTAGACGTAAAAGGCTAAATATGAACACAAATTCTTTTAATGGATTGTAACTTGTGTTAAATATGGTGATGTATGAACTACAAATTATATCCTCACATATTAAATTAGGTATAGAAAAATATGTGTTAATAGTATAGAAAAATATGTGTTAATAGTATAGAAAAATATGTGTTTATAGTGATTTGAAAATTTAATATTTTCATTTAGTTGGATTTTAAAACATTTGAAATTCTGCGTTGGTCCCTCAGCATGACTTGGTATCATATTTTTCTTTTTTTTTTTTTTCTTGGTATCATATTTTTCATTAAGCTATTTCTAGTGTCACAAGCTTGCCTCACATGGCTTTGAATTATAAGACCTATATAAAGTAAGAGAAAGGCTGATGGGAAATTAATCTAGGAGGTGAAAAAATAGTTTTAAATATCACTCTCAACCTTGTGAGGAGTGTTTATAAATTAACTCAATCTCTAGTATAAAAATTATTAATATTTTATGATCAGTCATGTATCTATTTATATCAATAGTCTACAAATTTCATTTAAGTTGATTAATTGACCTCCTTCCTGGTCAAGTATGTGTTTTGTGATTCCTGCTACTTTCAATAACGATCAGTGAAGTTTAAAGTGAATGGAAGCATTTCTCAAACATTCTGTATTCAAAGCACAACAGAAGGGTGGGAGAACTGTCAATTCATTCATTGCATGTGGCACAAAGTAACTCTAATCTGTGCTTCAGTGGGCTAAATTATGGCCATAAGAAACATGGTCTAAACACTTCATGCTTAAAATCCATCTGAGGAAATGATAAACTTTTCTCTATTTGGATTTCAACGTTTGAAATTCTCTATATTAACAAAGTCAATGAATTGCAAGTCTGTCTTATAACAATTGTAGCTAAAGTTAACAAAAATTAAGGATTCTGTCTGCTCAACTGATTCATAAGACTTTATCACATTCAAAACTTCTATTTCTTTACCCTTTGTATAGTAGCAATTATTACAAGTAGTATGGTGCCAAAACTCTAATTAAACCTGATGGTCCTTACACCCTCTAAGAACTATGCATTATGAACTGTACCATAGAAATAATTCATATACATAAATACACACAAAAGTTTCCATGCACTTCGGCGGACATATGAAAGCTCTGAAGTTCACTGACATTATATTAATATGGATTGAATTAAATTATTCACCTACTCACTGCTCTGGGGAAGTGGCATAATACTGTGCAAGTTAAAGGAATCCAATCTCTGACTTCAAGAAATTAATAATCTAGGCAAGCAATGTTTTCAAGAATTTGTAAAAATGTATAAATTTAGAACACTGTAAGTATAAACCTGTAGATATTATTTTTAAGAAGAAAGAGATCCTGATATTTATGAAGTGCTTGCTATCTGAAAGTCCTGATATTAAGTGCTTTAATAAATCAATCTCATTCACTTTTCACAAAGACCCAATGAGATAGGTATTTATATCCCCATTTTAAACCAGGAAACTGAGATTCAAAGAAGTTGACTTGTCCAGGATCACATAGTAAAGCAAATGGCAGAAGTAGAGACACTACTTTTGTATTTATTGATATCAAATATACACTTTAACCATTTCACAGCACTCTTTACTGCATGATCAGTGAAATCTTTATTATGAGACACATAAATGAAACATTTGGAGAGGATTCTTTAAAAAAAAAACTTTAATATTTATTTGCTTAGTATTAAATTAAGCAGCCATCTGTAAAACATATTATATTGTGGAAAAATAAACCAAATAAATACACCTCACTCTAAGACAGAATCTGTTATTTTACTTCACTTATTTAGTTAAGTATCTAGAGACCAAATAGGAATCAATTCTTATATTACTGATCCAGAACGTTTTAAAATTAGACTGCATATTGTAAAATTGTGCAAAAATTGTATGATTTCATACAGTGAAAATATTTGTTGGTATCTGCAATGAAGAGAATTCCCTGGGAATTAAGTTGTTATTTCGTTCTTTCTTTTTTTTTCACTTGTGGCATGACAAAGGGTTTTTACTATGCCTTGAACACAAATTTTCTTAAGAGAAGATGAGAACTTTAAAGTTCCCAAGCCAAGGTTCTATTGTGTTAATAACTTCATTGTTTAAGTTTTAAGAAATATTGGTATCAAAATAGGAAATGTGTATGTTCGTAATATTTATGTTAAAAATGTAAGGATACAAAAGTAATTATACAGTGTTAGCTCAACTTTTAAAAAAGCAGAAAAAGATTTAAAAGAAAATATCAAAATACCAAAATGTTAGCTCTAAATGATGATCTTTGTTTTTGTTTTGTTTTGTTTTGTTTTTGAGATTCATATATCACTAGTCTGTGCTTTTTTTTCACTTATTCAATAAGCATATATTATTTTTCTAATCAGAAAAAAATTAACAAACTTCATCACTTAAATCTTAAGCTCAATTTTAGACTCATATGCAAGAATATTTTTAAGAATAAAAAAAAATCATCTCTGATCAGGTTTCCCCTGTGCATTCAAGAGGAAAAGAATTATCAGCTAATAACTTTAAAACAAAAATAAATTTTCTCAAATGAAGTTTGTTTATTCATTTCTCACCATACGCTAGCAATCCTGAACAGTGTCAGTGACAAAATACCCCTAAGTTCTAAACTAAACAACTATCTGCACTCCAACTCATCACAACCCCCAGCCACATTGCCTTCAGTGTAATTTAGACTATGGTCATTTCTTTTTATTATTATTAAAACAATGCAAAATAGGATTTATGTATCAGTAGTAAGAAGAATAACAAAAATCTGACAAACATCATCTTTAAGCCAATACGAAATATTCATTCAAACCATTTTTAACCTCATGTTTTACAGGGACTGAAGAGGAAGATGAAGGAGATGACCTTTTGCTTAGGTCTGTGGATGAGTTCTGGTGGTTCCCTCATATGTGGAGCCATATGCAACCCCACCTCTTCCACAATGAGTCATCTTTAGTTGAACAGATGATTCTCAACAAGGAATTTGCACTGGTGAGCATATTTTATTGCAGTATTTTTCAAACTCCAAGTTGTAATGTATAAGTGGATTGCAAAATCAATTTACTGGGGTGAATACAACAGAAATAGAACAGACAATATCAGAAAGTGCCTCACACGTATTAGGGTACATATTCCTTTGTGTTATTTTGTTCCAGGCATGTGTGTGTATATGGATAGGGCCATGATATACTATAAAATGTATTTCAAAAAGTAGGTCATTGTCAGAAAGTTACCATCTTTTGTTTTATGGAAGAATTATTCTTGCACCTATGAGGAGGAAATCTAGTACTTTATCCACTGTATTCCTGATACATTATAATTACATCTCAAAAAGCATTTATTGTAAGGAGAAATGAATGGATGGGTGAACTGAATCATCGAGAACCAGTGGTTCTCAAACTGCAGCATGTATCCTTTTCACCTAAGAGACTTTTTAAAACACAGACTGCTGGGTCCAATTCTGAAGTTTCTGATTCCAAAGATTTTCAGAGAGGCCTGAGAACTTGCATTTCTAACAAATTATCAGATGGCCCATGGGCCAAATTTGGCCTGCTGCTTGCTTTTTCTTGTCCCTGAGCTAAGATATTTTTCATCTTGGGGTGGGTTTTGTTTGTTTGTCTTTTACATTTTTAAATGATTGGCTAACAGTCAAAGGCACAATAATACTTTGTGACATAGATGTTATATAAAATTCAAATTTTAATGAACATAAATACAATGTTGTTGGAACACTGCCACGCTTACCTTTATACCTCTATAGCTGCTTTTGCACTACAATAGAGGTGAATAGTTGCAAAAGAAACCGCATATGGCCCCCAAAGCCTAAAATATTTACCTTTACTGAAAAAGTTTGCCCACCCTGCTCTATATTAGGTAAACCATATATCCCTCTAACAATCTAAGGAAAAACATTTTTTTTCCCAGAAAAATACTCAGATGCTCGTTCTCACATCTTCACACAGAGGGAACAGATAGTCCAAGGGGTATGTGGATCACCCAAAGACCCTGGGCCTCAGTTAAACCTATCTTAAAATAAGCAGTTTTCATTTAAAATAAACGACGTGCATGGAACTGGAGGGTATCATGCTGAGCGAAATAAGTCAATCAGAGAAAGACATGTATCATATGACCTCACTGATATGAGGAATTCTTAATCTCAGGAAACAAACTGAGGGTTGCTGGAGTGGTGGGGGGTGGGAGGGATGGGGTGGCTGGGTGATAGACATTGAGGAGGGTATGTGCTATGATGAGACTGTGAATTGTGTAAGACTGTTGAATCACAGACCTGTACCTCTGAAACAATACATATATGTTAAAAAAAAAAAAGAAGAAGAAGATAGTAGGAAGGATAAAATGAAGGGGGGGAAATCGGAGGGGGAGACGAACCATGAGAGATTATGGACTCTGAGAAACAAACTGAGGGTTCTAGGGGGTGGGTGGGAGAATGGGTTAGCCTGGTGATGGGTATTAAAGAGGGCACGTATTGAATGGAGCACTGGGTGTTATACGCAAACAATGAATCATGGAACACTACATCTAAAACTAATGATGTAATGTATGGTGATTTACATGACATAAGAAAATTAAAAATAAATAAATAAAAATAAATAAATTAAAGAGTTAATTTGCACTGCATGATCGTTAATGTTTTATTTTTTTAAAAGCCACATTAGGAGGCATAGACCTAAGGCCAAATAAGCACTATGATATTTTCTGAAGTTATGCTTAGTTATTATGTTAATGGTTCACCATTCTTTCCATCTCTAAATCCCCAGACCTGTGTAAGATCTGTGCATAGTATCCTTACAAGTAAGTGTGTGTAGCACAAAAAGCAATTAAGATCATGGACACAGGCACCACAGTGCTTGTGTTTGAATCCCAACCTTCCATCATGGCTGCTTGTTCTTGAACAAAAATTACTTACCCTGTGTCTCAGTACCCCCATCTGTAGAAATGAGGATAATAGTAGCAACTACCTCATAGGATTATACTGATACATATTTGAGGATATGATACATATTTGAGGACACATATTTGAAGATACATGCTTAGAGCAGTGCCTGCAATACAGTAAGCACTCAATAGGTGTTAACCAATTATGATCTTCCAAAATCCAGACAAGCACACAATTATGCTTCCCTTTATAAAAGCCAAATATTTTTTTAAAATACAGATTTACAAGAGGTTGATCTTCACTTAACTTTCAAAGAATATCTAATAAATTTTGTACTACTTCATAGCATTGTAAAATTAAGTAAATATTCCCTTTTCAAAAAATAAACTTACCTTGAGTAAGCATGATGAATTCTCTCTTTGCAGTTACCTTGACAATAAACTGTTTATCATTTGACTTCAACCCCACCTACCTCACTTTCACTGTGAAGGCTTGCTTTTTAAGCATGTGGGTTATATTTCATAATGGTTGATTTCGCCTGTTTGTATAATTTCTGTTTTTAAAAGGCCATGCCAAAAACACTGGGAAAGACTCAGATGTAATTGCTTTGTAATGAAATGTTGAAAGCTATTTAGAGTTCATTCAGAGCAATTACATTGTTTAGTCAGTGTGGCTAAATGCTAGACTGAAACTTATAAATACATTTTGTAAAAAATAATCTTATTATATGTTGCATAAGCAAAATATTACAACTAAAATGAAGTCTGTTAAACACACATACTGAAATGACATTGTTCTTTTCCTTCTGGAGTTCACCTCGATAAAACTTCTCAGGACTCTTCAAGCAGTGACATCCAAAACCCATCTTTAGCTGTAAACATAGGATGACAGTAAGTGTGTTGACCAGAGAGCCAGGGAATGTATTTCTTTCCTATTAAATTTTATCTTTCCACATCCAGATGACACTTCAAAACCATCAACAGTATCAAGATGGGATAGGATAGTGGAAAGCACTACATGAGATATTGGCAGGCTATATTTTAGTCCTGACTGCAAGTAACAAGTTCTAATACAGTTGGCATCTCATTTAATGTCTTCATGCCCCGGTTTCCTCCCCTGAAATAGTAATGATTTCCTTTTTCATTCTCTTAACCACAAAGTTTTTAGATAATTAATTTACATCAGCTCATCTGCCAACCAAAAGTACTGGACCAGATAATCCATTGATCATTTCCATTTCTAAAATTCTGTGATCATTGACATCGGCGGTCCACAAATCTGGAATGAACGTCTTGAAATACTCATCTAGTTGCAACTGAAGCAATTATGGAAAGAGATTTTCAAACTAAATGACCAATTTAAACTGAAAAAAAATGTTTAAATCTCTTTTTTTTTATTCCAACCTGATATACTTTGGTATGACCTTGGCTGTCAGAGGGGTTATCAGTCAAAAGCACGGTTATTCTCACACTTACAAAAATGATTCAAATGACATATTACTAGTTTTATATTGATGTTTCAAAAGCAGTTAAACAATCAGAATGGTTTTATTTGTAGTGTTTGTCCAAATTCTGTATGGATAGAGTTCATTTTCTGTTGTAATATGCCTAAAAATCAAGAGAGAAATATATTGCAACACTGTTTCTTTACTGTTTCATCATTTTAGAAGAGCTTTTATTACTGTAAAGCATTGCATTTCTTTTTTTTTTTGTCAATAACATTTTTTATTGAAGTATAGTTAGCAGTGTTATATTAGTTTCAGGTGTACAATATAATGATTCAATTCTCTACATTATTCGGTGCTCATCACAGTAAGTGTACTCTTAATTCCCTCTATCTATTTCATCCATTCTCCCACCCACCTCCCCTCTGGCATCCACCAGTTTGTTCTCTGTATTTAAGATTCTGGGTTTTTTTCTTTTTCTCCTTTTACTTCATTTGTTTCTTAAATCCTCTATATGAGTGAGATCATATGGTATTTGTCATTCTCTTCCTGACTTATTTCACTTAGCATTTTACCCACTAGTCAATCCCTGTTGTTGCAGATGGCAGGATCCCATTCTTTTCTATGGCTGAGTAATATTCCATTGTGCATATACCACATCTTCTTTATCCATTCATCTATGAGTGGACACTTGGGTTGCTTCCATATCTTGGCTATTGTAAATAATGCTACAATAAACATAGGGGTACATATATAAGGATACATATTTTTTTTCAATTAGTGTTTTCATTTTCTTTGGATAAAGAAAATTCTGCTACCCAGTAGCAGAATTGCTAAATCATTTGATATTTCTATTTTTAGTTTTTTGAGGAACCTCCATACTGCTTTCCACAGTGGCTGCACAAATTTATATTCCCACCAATGGTGCACGATTGTTCCTTTTTCTCTACATCCTCACCAATGTTTGTTATTTCTTGTCTTTTGTATTCTAACCATTCTTACAGCTGCAAAGTGATATCTCATCATGGTTTTGATTTGCATTTATCTGATGATTAATGATTTTGAGCTTCTTTTCATGTGTCTGTTGGTCACTTGTGTCTTTTTTTGGAAAATTGTCTATTCAGGTACTCTGCTTTTTATTTTGGTGTAGTCCCAGAGGTTTAATTTTGCTTTTGTTTCCCTTGCCTGAGGAGACATATCTTTAAAAAAAAAAAATGTTTCTATGGCTGATGTCAAAGAAATTACAGCTTATGTTTTCTTCTAAGAGTCTAATGGTTTCAAGTCTCATACTTAAGTCCTTAATCCATTTTGAATTTATTTTTGTGTCTGGTATAAGAAAGTGGTCCTATTTCATTCTTTGCATATAGCTGTCCAGTTTTCCCAACACAATTTGTTGAAGAGATTGTCTTTTTCTCATTGCATTTTCTTGCACCCTTTGTTGTAGATTAATTGATCATACAATCATGGGTTTATTTCTGTGCTCCCTAATCTGTTCTATAGATCCATGTGTCTATTTTTGTGCCAATACAATACTGTTTTGATCACTACAGCTTTGTTCTTCTTTTTCAAGATTGCTTTGACCAGTTGTAATCTTTTGTGGTTCCATATAAATTTAGGATTATTTGTTCTGGTTCTATGAAAAATGTTGTTGGT